GAATTCCCTGAACCGGGAGCCAATTTTCAAAGTTTCCATTAAATTTTGTCACGGGTAATTTGGGTAATTTAATAGACGTTGATTTTTCTTGTTCTTTCGCTGATGTCTCGATTGATTTTTGATATTCCAATTGTTTATTCAACAGTTCAGTTTTGTGCTTCAATTCCCGCTTTCGTTCTTCATCCTTCGCTGCTTGTTCTAGCTCGAACTTTTGTTTCTCGAATTCAAGTTGTTTTTGTCTTTTGATATCTACGGCAACGCGTTCGGTTTCTTCGGCTGCTGCTCTCTCTGTTTCTTTAATCTCATTCAAACGTTCTCGTATTTCACTTACTTTGTTATCTGCTTCGCTAATTTTCGACTCGATTTCCTCAGCCCAGTTTCGTATATTTTCCTCAGAATCGTTGTCAGTAAATTTGATCTCCTCTATTTCCTCCTTTAAGGCATATATTGCTTGAATTCGGTTGGTTATTGAACTAATTTGTCGCGTTAAAACCTCGGTTTTAGTAGAATCAATAACTTCGTCAGACATTTTGATCGCAAAGTTCGATGCTTTTATTTTCCCAGTTAATTCCAATAACTTTTTGTCAACCATCTTAGACATATTCGATATAATATTTCACGGTCACGCTCGTCACAAATCACAACAAAATCTCGATATAAATGCTTTGGATATTTGTACCAAAACACAGCTAAAATCGCGTCGGTAGGTGGCCTATGTTGGGGATTGCCTCCAAGTATCGCCCAAAATAAATCAAAACAAATCACAGTATAATATCTATTACAAAATCACAAATTTCACAGTCTCACAGCCACATGTTTTTAAGTTCTCTTTTTAAAAAACAACAACCACCGGTATAATCCGGAACTTTCCGAAGTGTCTAAAGTTTGGACTCGCGCGTCCCACGCGTGAACATAAATAATTCTAAATTACGACAGTTTCCGACAGTCTGGTTCTTTCTCTTGTGGGACATCAAATGCTTATATACTGTTTGCTGTTTCATCGTCATGTTTTCTTTGATGCGTGTGCCTGTTGTCCTACCCGTTTCTCCTATATATAATGCCTCGCAGTATGAGCACTTAATTTTATAAACTACATTCTTGTTGAGACATTTATCGACTTTGTTGGTACATTTACATGTTTCACAAGCTTTAGGGCAATGTGCCGTTCTCTGGGTGGAGCAAATACTCTACGCAATGATTTGCCGTTCATAAATTGAATTCTGACACTGTCTATTCCTGATCGTTTTATCACTGCAAGGGCACGCCGTCTAAATTCTTCATTAATGAAGGGAATCTTTAAATATAGGCATATTTAATTTCATCCTCTCTAGTTGATTTGTTATTTATATATATATATATATATATATATATATATATATATATATATATATATATATATATATATATATATATATATATATATATATATATATATATATATATATATATATATATATATATATATATATATATATATACATATATATACATATATATATATATTCGTGTATGCATACCTTTAATCTATTACGTCCAGCAAGAGAGCGGTTCATCTGTTTCTTCGCATCAACAGCATGAGTTATGTCCAGATACTGGATGAATGCATAAGCGCCATTTGTGCCTTGCTTTTTAATGTCAATATCCTAAGAAATGAAAATACATCTTAGTTCTGCCTTTTACTGTGCCTAAGGAGAGCAGTTTAGAACGATAAAGCTATCCAGTAAACATATATAGTTATATATAGTTTTAAAATACTCATTAATAATTCATGAACCTTGTGGCAAATCATGTCAGCCATATGTCACGTGGAGTAACTTTATATCTGATAAAGCACGAGGCATTATATAATTGTTCATCCTAATTAGTATGATTATATAATGGTTCATCCTAATTAGTATTCTTTTGTAGTCGTATTTTAAGCTATTCAAAACACTCGTTGTCGTGTTTTATCAGACATAAACGCTCGGCTGCGCCTCGCGTTTTATATCTGATAAAACACTCCTTCTCGTGTTTTAAATAGTACATATACTTACAACAATTTCCCCATATCGTTCAAACATTCTTTTTAGTTCAGCTGAATTCGTATTCCTCTCGATGTTTCCAACAAATATCGTCCTTGTGGCATTGAACTGGTATACATCATCAGCTGAGTTGAACCCAGGTCCCCCGGCGTCACTGCGACGTTTGTAGCGATGGAACGAACGTTCCTCTTGCTCATCACCTACACACGTAAAAACGCACAAGTTGTAACAAACCTGCATTTGCAATGCTGTTCCGACAACTTGTCACCAGGATGTGTTCGCACTGCTTGTTCCCAGCTCTCAACGGTTTGTTAAAAAAACCTGCTACAAGGTTGTTAAGCTCAACAGACTTGTAACAAGTTGTTCTATAACTATTTGTTATCATTGTGCAATTCGACAACTTGCAGGGTTTTTTTCAGGGATTTTTTAGGCCCCAAAAACTCAATATTGAATTGAGTTTTGAAACTCAATCTTCTCACCAAAGTTTCAGTGCAGTAAAAATGAAGTTGTTTGAGTTATAAAATTTTGTAACGTCTGGAAATTAGTTTTCAGTTGGAAGCCCAACAAGCCATCTTTAACCGGTTTATAGTGTCCCTGCTTTAACACATTCCGTCTCAACTACACGTATTGAGTACAGGTGCTAGCCACCACGTAGCCACCCCAACTGTCCAGTTGAACTCAATCTTCTCTACAAAAACGGACCCAGGAGAAAATCCTGGAAAAAACCCTGAACTTGTCAACAAGGTACGAGTGACAAACTTGTAGCAACTTGATAAAATAACAGTGTTGTCGCAACTTGTTGACAAACTTGCTACAAGCCTGTTGCGAACACATTTGATGGGTTTCAGGGAAGAGTATAAAATCAGTACGGGACGGCTGAAAGAAACGTATGATATTTACCTTCATATAATGTAATGTCCATTTCCAGCCCAAGAAACATTTTGCCACGGCAGGATTCCATTGCTTTCACCACATCTTCGGGTCTGAATGTACACAAAATAGTTAACAACACAAATCTTAAGACCCGTCGACACGACACGATTAGTCGTATGCGATTCTTATTCTAGCGTAATCGAATAAACACGCGTAAAGAAATTTTGCCCTATAAAAGAATGCCAGAAGGGCATTCTCGCAGCCTTGTGCTTTATCAGACTCGAGCTGCGCTCTCGTGTTTCAAATCTGATAAAGCACCTCCTGCTCGTGTTTTAAATAGAGAATAATACATGGGTGCTTGGAAATACCAGATTTATTTCTCGTGTTGAACATGATATCTCACGAGTGGGCGCAGC